CCTTTACCCTGGCCCAGATATATGATAATGAAAAGTCACAGTAATAATTATCAAATCTCACCACTGATCCTCTGTTCCTGCCCACTTCTCTTGCTAATAGAATCTATGATTCTACATTTATGTGGAAACAAGGTTTCATTAAGGGATCACTCCTATTAGAGGAGGCTTCACTAAGGGAATATCTAAGTGTTTTTTCTTTTGTGCTTAATAGCCAGAAGACCAATAAAAATCTGAGCTTTATAATTTTGAGTATGCATCATAAAAGCATATCCAGTCTTTTAAAAGCTATTAAAATCCTAAATACAAAGTCATCCATGCTAGTTTTTCCAGGTCACCCTAGCTCCCAGTGTAACTTTCCATGAAAGCAAATACAAAATTATACTTTTTTTTTTAATATATTTTATTGAATTTTTACAGAGAGGAAGGGAGAGAGATAGAGAGTTAGAAACATCGATGAGAGAGAAACATCGATCAGCTGCCTCCTGCACATCTCCTACTAGGGAAGTGCCCGCAACCCAGGTACATGCCCTTGACCGGAATTGAACCTGGGACCTTTCAGTCTGCAGGCCGACGCTCTATCCACTGAGCCAAACCGGTTTCGGCCAAAATTATACTTTAATACCTACAATTTATCATTAGACTAAACCAGTGGTCGGCAAACTCATTAGTCAACAGAGACAAATATCAACAGTACAACGATTGAAATTTCTTTTGAGAGCCAAATTTTTAAACTTAAACTATATAGGTAGGTACATTGTTATTAATTAGGGTACTCCTAAGGCTTAGGAAGAGCCACACTCAAGGGGCCAAAGAGCCGCATGTGGCTCGCGAGCCGCAGTTTGCCGAACACAGGCGCTAAACCATGCCTCTAAAAACGGGGCCTTCTTTTAACAGAGAGTACTTTTGCTTCTCCCTTCATCGTACACAATAGACCCTTTACACTAGCAAGTCCAGCTCCTAACTGTCCAGAATCTCTGTGCCCCCAAAGAGCTGCAGTCAAATGAGGATACAAGCCACTGTCCATGATCATTCATTGGTTAAGTGACAGTTTCCCACGCAGCAACCTTGCAGCATGGTGTAATTTAAATTCCTATGTCAGGAAAATTACCCAATACTACTTGACATTGGCTTTCCCTGTTCAGTCTCAGGCTGCCAAGATTATAGGAGAATAGTATAAACTGTAATGCCAAGAGGTTACCTCACATTCTATAAGAGGTTTTTTATCAAAGAGGATATAAGGAATAGTAAAGAATGCTTATTTGGATTCAACAAAATCAGTTTCTCATACTACTAGTTCTACTTAATAGCAGCAAAAAAGCAAATTAAAAAGATTGGACTAGATGAAATGAGAACACTGGACCAGGTGAAATAAAAAGGTTCTAGTGATAAGAAAAGTTTCTAAGATCTACTTAAGCTAAAGTATGCTCTGGCAAGATAGAAACTAAATTTAAAAACACCTGTGAACATATGGGACCAACTTGAATGACAAGTGGCCCTAAACTGTTTGCAGCCTCCAAAACTGCCCCTCTCAATTTTATTTTGCTGTGCCTAACCTTTCATTATTTTCTTTCACAGGCATTGCTCAATGGCCCTCAAGATTCCTGCTTCAGTAAGACATTTTTTTTTAAATATATTTTTATTGATTTTTTACAGAGAGGAAGGGAGAGAGATAGAGAGTTAGAAACATCGATGAGAGAGAAACATCGATCAGCTGCCTCCTGCACATCTCCCACTGGGGATGTGCCCGGAACCCAGGTACATGCCCTTGACAGGAATCGATCCTGGGACCTTTCAGTCCGCAGGCCGACGCTCTATCCACTGAGCCAAACCGGTTTCGGCTCAGTAAGACATATTAATAGATGATTATATCTCCCCAAAATGTCCAGGTTAGATAGTCATTATTCAGAATATTTTATTTTTACAAAATGGAATCTCACAAAAATTAAGTAAGCTATGAGCTAAAGAATGTTATTAAAGTTATTCAAGTCAAACAAGAATAAACTATAATGTTGCATATCTAGATTTTTTTTATAGTATTTCAGATATTGGCATGAATAACCTATTGCTTAATATAAACAAGGCTGAGAAATAAACAAATTGCATACTTCTAATAACTTAAATCAACTAATTAATTTATGAAAATTCATTGTCTCATGATACACACTGATAAGAGCTCTACAGGCATGCTTCACTGTACACAACCTAGTGTTCTATATAAATGTTTTTTTACCTTTTAACTTTTTAAAACTAATTTTTATATTAGAAGTAATACAGATATATAGTAAAAAAGTCAAACAGAGAAGGATAAACAATGAAAACTGAAACTACTCCTACTAGGTTAACTACTAACATGGAAAACTTCATTTTTCATATATGAGGGGGGCTTCAATATTCATAGTACCTGGTATATAGTAAAAAATAAGCCCCTTACCAATTATCTGATTATATTTTTATATTCAATAAGAGGTTTCTTAAGTGATGCATACCTGTATAGCTCCATTCTAAGGATTGCTGAGATATTCCTGCATACCTCAAGACAAGCAACAATTTTGGCAGTCATAGCAGAAAGGTTTTTGGAATTCCTAGTTCATGACTTCATTTCAGTATATATCCCCGGGACACACACTGTCTCCTGTGCCTCAGGATAAGTAAGGTAGTTTTTAGTTCAAACAAAGGATTTTTTTAAATCAAAAAAAAATTATTTTGAATCCCTCAAATGTGCCTGCCTATATGTCATATAGGCTAGAATTCATTAAGCTTGATCAACAGTGGTTTAGGGGTCAATATTTATTCTTAAATGACATCATTCTATTTCATCTACATCAATATAAAAATGAGCGATCTGATTTAAGCACTTTCAAAAGTGTGCTATCTAGGTTCGGAGTTTTTCTTTTTAGGTTTCCCCTTATATGATTTATGCCTATGAAGCTAAATCTAAGAACAGTTGGTTCCAGAGAGCAAGAATTTATAAAATTTAAAGTATGTTTTTTATAGGCTTGATTTGAAATAAAAGCAGAAATCTTAAATTTGTAAGTGTCCTAAATTACTATATAACATATTCTTAACAAAAAACTTTTTTGCCTATATAACAATAAAGTATTTGTTGTTACTTTTCTACCAAAAAAAAGAAAAGTTACCCGGCAAAGGAAAGATAATTACTTCTGGAAACTATATAATAAGATACATGACTACTTAGTTTTCATATGTTAACAAAATGGATATTGCCCATATATGCATTAACATTGCAAAGTCACTATGCAGCAAAAACATGCACCCAAAGTCAAAACTATTTTCAAATTTCTATTGGTAACTTGGAAATCTTTTATAAATCAATATATTTGTAACAGGCGCAAACAATTCATTTCCTAGGTCACTGCCAATGATTTCAATTTTAAACTAGCTACAAGAAGGAAATAACTCCAGCTATTTTTCACGAATAACTAACCTCGACTTAATTATACGTTGATTCAGCTCAACTCCCACATTTAGAACAAGTTTTAACTAGGAAGGTAACATACCATAATAGTCAAATACCAGCAAAGTAACTGGCAAGACAATACAACATAGCTTATACGTTACTGTAAAGAGATCCACTGTTTGTCTCCCAATAAAGGATCTCACTTATACCAACTTCCCTTCTTATCTCTCCCCTGACACTATATTCTCATTACCCTATTTCCTTAGTTTATAGCAAAATTCCTCAAAAAAAAATCTACATTCACAATTTTCATTTCACCATCAGATTCTTTCTTGAATCCACACCAATTATGCTTTTATCCCCATCACTCCACAAAAATTGCTTTTTTTTTTAAGAGATAGAGAAGTAAAAACATCAATGAGAGAGAACTATCTATCAGCTGCCTCCTGCACGCTCTCTTACTGGGGGGATCAAGCCCACAACCCAGGCATGTGCCCTGGTTGGGAATTGAACCAGTTACGTCTCGGTTCATAGGTCAACGCTCAATACTGAGCCACACTGGCCGGGCCACAAATATTGTTCTTATCAAGGTAACCAGCAATGTCCACACTGCAAAATCCAATGATCAAATCTGAATCCTTATCTTATTTGACCAATTGGCAGAATCTGATACAGTTGATCCTTTATCTTCCCTGACACGTTTTTCATCCTTTGCCTCTCAGAAACAGCACTCACCCTTGGTTCTCCTCCTAGCCATTTCACTTGGAATAAAAACCAAAGTTTTTATGATAGTCTACAAAGCTTCTCCATGATCTAGTCCCTGCTGCCTGGCATCCACTACCTTTTCGGCCTCTCCAGCTACACGGGCCTTCTTGCTTTTTCTCAAGTAAACTAAGCATATCCTGCTTTAGACCCTCTGTGCTTGCTGTTCCCCATCCTGAAACCCTCTTTTCCTGGCTATCTTGTAACTTCTCTCTCAGGGAGACCTATTCTTACTATCATATAAAAACTAGCAACTCCCTGCCCACATGTGACTCTCAATCTTCTTTTCTGCTTTTTCTTCTTAGCACCTGACACTGAATATAATCATTTGTTTTCTGTCCGTCTTCCCTGGGCACTAAAATGTAAGCACTATGAGAGAAGTGATTTTGACTTATTCAAAAAGCATCACAAAGAAGAGTGCTTGGCATTTAGCCTGGTACATATTTGCTGAATGACTAAATAAATAATTACAAGTCATTATGTTAAAAGTTTTATAAAGATTAGCTCATTTAATCATCAAAAAAAAAAATGGAATTACTATTATTATTCCAATTATACTAATGAGACAAAGGCACAAGAGATTAAATAACTTGTATGTCACAAAGCTTTCCTGTATCTATCAAATGAGATCAAGTTAGAACATACAAATGGAGTACTTGACAAAGTGTTTGGCACATAAAATACCTAACATTTCTGGAATACTTATTACATGCCAAACATTAATGTAGTCTCTTTATGTATATTTAATCATTTAATTCTCCTGTTTAATGAATGGTTGCTATTACTATTTTCACTATTTATTATTTATCAGGGTACCAACCTTAACTCAATAGAAGTCATAAAAGATGCTGCTGTGAGAAGAAACTCCACAAACTCCAACTTTTACTCTTCTCAGAAAAATGTTAACATGTGCTTAAAAAACAATGTGTTTTCAATATTAGCACTGGAAACCAAATCAAAATTAACTGAATTCATATCATACACAGACACATCATTAACTGCACATTTGCTGTCAGTTCTTTTAAAAAGCCCTCTAACATTCAAAGACAAAAGAGTCACAGATTTCCATTATAAAAAAAATCTACCCCTCCAACAAAACTTTGGTTGCTATTCCATATTGCACTGTATTATGGTTAAAGCATATTTTTCATTATAAGTTAAAAATTATCTTGATTAAAGTAGATCTTTTTAATGTTTAAAATAGAACTTATTCATTTATACCAATTAATACCAAAATCTCCAAGTTTACCTAATGTAAACAGCCCATCTGTTTTAAAAAGCAGTTTTATTACCAAACATAAATTTTGAAATTACTGCATCTGAGAAAATAAAGTAGCCAATTTCCTTTACCCTTGAGTTAAAGTGAAAACCATGGGAATCATGAAATTTACTGAATATAATTTTGTCAGCTCAATATGTCTTTTGGGTTTTAGTTTATAGCTCAACCTGCAGATACTCATTCTTTATTAACAATTAACATATAAAATATTCTGGGTAAAGACCCTTAAAACTTACGGTGCAATTATGGCTCTAGCAGGTCTTTTTGTAGACTGTACTTGTGAAAGCCAACCTTCCAGCTGTGCATTCAGCTGCGGTCCTATGTAAAGAGAAAGGGAAACTGGAGTCAGCAAAGCAATGTACCTCAGACAATCACACAAGACACAAAACCTTCATTAAACCTATAGGGCCTAAAATAGCTTAATGGGCAGTGGGATCATCAGTTTGGATGTTAATATTTGCAACTGAACCAGCTACATACAACGTCTCTAGCAAGCAATCTGGTAAGCTCACATACTGATTAAACCAAACTTGCTTTTATCCATCTGCTTATTTATTTACAAGAGTCTTCATTCCAGAACAATATGCTCTACAATTTGAGGGGTTATTTAAACAAAATAAAAGAAGAAACAGAAAACTGTTAGTATATGAAAGAAAATAATTGAGTAAATATTTTTTAGAACACCAAAACATAAAACATGTTTATTTTTTCCTTTGGATAAAGCCAATTAGCTAAAGACAATATATATAATCACCCCAACAACCAAGTGAATTTAGTTTAAACTATGTGTGACAAATGTTGCCATCAGTCTTCTTACTTAAGCGCTATTATAGTTTCTCATGAGAGTGTGTATGTAACTACATAAGGGATGAATTCTCTGTAGGTCTTTGCAATCTCTTAGCAGATCGCCCGTGATATGCATCACATTCTAGATTAATGTTTCTTCAAACATTAAATTGTTTTCTTTCTCTTCTACCTTTGAAGAGAGGTTTTCTGAGATGGCAGGAAGCTTTGGCTTAAATTATATTTCTCCAACATCAGCAATAGTTAAAAATTCCCATTTCTCTATATCCTTATCAGTATTATTCTCAGAATTTTTAATTTTGTCAATTTGATGGATAAGAAATAGTATCCCTTTGTTTCTGTTAATTCTTATTTTCAAAATATCCATTGAGATTAATTGTGTAGTGATTTGGAAATCCTTCTGTATATATTCATAAACAAGTCAAGTTTATGACAACCAATTTACTCTGTAAATTGCCAGAATACAAAAAAAGTCTGACTCGGCAATCAAACAACGTACTTTATTTTTAAAACTTAAATTTAAGAACAATCACAAAAAAAAAACTTATATGAAATAATCCCATTAACTCAAGGAAAAAATAGTAAATTAAAGTTTTGGCTGCCTAATAAATTTCATATTAACTTAAAATAAGTATTGCTCTAAATATTTCCATATTACGGGAAGTTTGTGAAACAGAAGTTGAAAATCTTTAAGAGCAAAGAAAATATCTTCCAATTCAGACACTCTACTCTCACCAACTTCAGTGACTTTAAGTACTAAACCAAGCTTTCTTATCATTTCTTCTGGAAAAGGACCAATTTCTACAGAGGGATCTTAAAATTAAAGCCAAACTCCAATTTATTATGTATACTAGAGGCCTGGTACACAAATTCGTGCATGGGTGGGGTCCAGCCAGCCCACCCGATTGGGGTGGTGGTGGGGCCAATCAGGGGCAGCAAGAGAGACATACATGGTTAGGGGAGGAGCCTTCCAGTGTTGCTCAAATTATTCCATGCATATAAGGTAAAGAATGACCAAAAAAAACTTTTTACCATTCGTTTTTTAAGTGGTTATCTACCTATTAGCACAGTAAACTTAATTCCACAGGACTGGTTAAAGCAAAGTAAAAAAAGACAAAGTGGAAGTAAAAAATATAAATCCAAAAAAAATAGGCTGTCAGCACCTAGTATTTTGTTATTAACCATTCTGTGAAATCTGTTTAAACCAAAAAACTAAAAAATAAACTCGAACCTGTTGTGAGAAATATACAAACACTAAGATTAATATGCTAGATGTCATATAACATTGGCTCATGGATCTCTGAATTTCACAGGCCAAAAAAATTTCAAGAGAAATTTGGAACACCAATTTTTTATTTTACTAAGAATGGACATTTAAAACACACCAACCATTTATCTACAATCACCAGTAACTTACAAAACAAATATAACACCAAATAGTAAGAGCACAATTTTAAGATAATCTCAATCCCTTAAACTGAGTAAATTCACCACATTTCATTGACTCCAAGATACCATTAATATTAAGGTGCACATTATTATATGTACTACAAAAAAACAAAACCTCCCAATTAAACTAGGACTTACATTTTTTCATTGCTTACAACTTTTTATTTTACAACTAGTGGCCCAGTGCACGATTCGTGCACATTGAAAGGAAATTAATTAGAAGAAATATTTTAATATCACTATTCGCCCTTTCTATATATAATAGAAGTGTCAACCAAATTCACAATCGACAATGACAGATCGAAACACACACCTGCGATTGGTGCCAGCGAGAGCTTTATAGGTATTGCACTTGTGCAATTCAACTTCGCCTTTTATATACAGGATAAACTTGCTTAATTAGACCTGCTTTCTGATGTAGCTAAACTTTTTCCAGCCCAGAGAATCACCCCAAGTTTCAGGTAATTGTCAACAACACAGCAGTAAATATCAACATGAAGCAGATTATTATGGTAAATCACGCGAGGAGAACAAAGGGTGAAATATTTAACTGCAGCAGTGTCTGACTATATTTTGCGCAGTGAGAAAACCTAAAGTCATTTTCAAGGTCCACCATTTCTTACTTCTTTTCAGTCGGGTGAACTTTCTCAACTTTCTAAATCTTCGTTTTCTGGCTAATGAAAAGAAAATAGGATTCCACTGAGTCTCCTATCTACCTACTCCAGGACTTCTGTGAGAATCAAATGAGATGAGGCACGGGAAAACACTTCACAGACATTTGGTTAAAATGTGAAATGCTTGCACCTGGCTATAAAGCAAGTCATGTTCCTGGACTAAAAAAACTGCAAGGAAGCTAGTCGTTGCTAGGGAGAGGAAGCTGGGCATTGCTACATGACATCATTACCTGGCGCCCACAGCCCACAGCAACCATTTCCAGGCTGGGCTGGGCTGTGGGCCACATTTTGCACCATGGCAGCGTCGGCTGCAATTTGGTGGGCTATCGGGTGGTGTCAGAGCCTATGTCCCACTTGGGGGAAGCTGAGTATTGCTTTGTGGGTGCCAGGTCCGTGATACCAGCGCACGTCACGGCAGTTCCTGTGTTGAGCGCCTGGCCCCTGGTGGTCAGTGCACATCATAGCAACCAGTGGGACAGTTGGGCACTTATCATATTAGCCTTTTATATAAATACTAGAGGCCCGGTACACGAAAATTTGTGCACTGGGGGTTGGGGGGTCCTCTCAGCCCAGCCTGCCCCCTCACAGTCCGGGAGCCCTCAGGGGATGTCCTACTGATGGCTTAGGTCCGCACCCCAGAGGGAGCGAGCCTAAGCTGCAGTCTGGCCTCCCACTGCGGGAGGCGACTGGCCAATCATGGGAAGGCACCACCCCGATCACCCCCTCACTATTGCTGCCTCAGGCCTCCCTCTGCAGGAGGCGACCGGGCCAATCAAGGGAAGGTGACACCCCCATCACGCTGCTGCGGCTGCCTGAGCCTTGGCCCGGCCCTTGCAGCAGCAGCCATCGCCACCATCCACGGCTTGCCTGAGCCTTGGCCCGGCCCTCGCAGCAGCAGCCATCGCCACCATCCACGGCTTTCCTGAGCCTTGGCCCGGCCCTCGCAGCAGCAGCTGCCATCCACACCCTGCCTGAGCCTTGGCCCGGCCCTCACAACAGCAGCCACCTCCATCCGCGGCTTGCCTTAGCCTCAGCCCAGCCCTTGCAGCCGAGGCTCAGGCAGCTGCTGCGGCTTTGTCTGGAAGGACGTCCAGAAGATTTCTGGTCTGGTTAGCATATTACCCTTTTATTAGTACAGATTATTCAAAAAGCTCTTTTAAGCTTATTTAGACATGATTTTTCATATAGCACTTTTGTGTTTAATTTTTTTAAGTCAGAGTCATCAGTAATCCTTGTTTTTCCATATTATCACCCTCTGTGCCATTTAAAGAATTAATGATGCAATTATTTCTTTTAAAAGTGTTCCTCTATTGCCTCTGGAACTGTTATCTAAGCAACCAATACACACTGTCTAAGTCTCGATGCCATACCTTTTTTGATCTTACCAAAAGTTATCTCTGGAAGATGTAACTACTAGAAGGGTTCAGAAGACAACCCAGAGTAGGTAATCTCTCACATAAATGGCATGTTCATTGAAACTTCAGTGGGTTGCAGTTGTCTAGTCATAACAGCAGGATTAATAATTAAGTTCACAGGTGTGTGGGCAGTGACAACTATTTCACAACAAAGATTTTAAGATACCTTTGACTATAAAACACCTCATTTTCAGAAGTGCTAAAATGTGGGAAAATGTACACCATAAAATCGATGAGCTATGAAAACCACATGCACTACATGTTCTGATATTTATTTCAACACAGAACAAATGAAAACCTCATCAAAGACCAGCATTTGAAAACCACTTCTTCTCACTACAATACTAGTAAAAAGTGTTTCTGAGAAGACTTATCAACTACAACAATCTCATTTAATTTTAAAAATAAATAACATGGGAAAGGGGGGTGGGGGAGGGCAATGGGGGAAAAAGGAGGACATATGTAATATTTTCAACAATAAAGATTTATAAAATATAAATAACATTTTAGCAGTTCATCTGAAATCCTTTCATTGATGCCCTTCTGTGACCACATACTTAAAATTAAAATGTATTGCTATGCTATTTACAAAGCTTACTATCTTATTTTTAGATACATCTCAAGGGATGCTGCTTGTTTTTATGTATCGATAATAGGGCTCCTCACTCAGAAAGGTATATGCCCTTGGGAAAAGAAGAACACAAAAACTGTCACACTGAATCTGACCCAAAACCCATCTGGAGCAGCAGTGTTGCAGCAATCCAAAAACACTTGCTGTGAAGAGCACTGATTGTTCTCCTTGATATAAACCTCTAAGTTAGGCCAACTAGTTTATTTAAACACTGTAAGAATTCATTTACATTTTTAGCTAAACTCTGTAGTTCAGAATACAATCCATAGGAACAATTAACCATCCAAAATGAGCAATCTTTAACACATACCAACCAACTAGAAATCCCTTAACACTTTTCTGCTC